AAACCTCCTCCTAATTTCAATTCCTGGGAAAAAGTACTGTGGAAATAGCCTTTCCAGTTTGTAACAGATGTGTTCTGATCTTTGTGGGTGACCTCTGCATTTGTGATGGATAGAGCCAAAAAGTTGCCTAATAAGAACTGGAAAGAAGTTGCTTTCACAGTGGAACCATATTCCATGATCCAAGGTTATCAAAGTGGAAACTAAACAAAACACATAGGTGCAGAAGGTGTGAACTTCCTGAGCATAGTATCGTTATATTAAAATACCTGTGCCCTGGAGCAACCAGTTCAATCATTTTTGACAAGGACAGGGTAATGAGAACCCAGTAAAAGAAAACAATGGTCAAAAGGGGGAAGGGGAATCAGAAAAATTATAAAAAATGTTGGGGGAAACAGCCAAGAATGTATAAAAAGGAGAGAATACAAAGCAAGCATGAGATGTAGCTGTGGAAAGGAAGAAAAGATTGGAGGTGGGGGGGACATGCAGATGAAAATATGGATTGTGTTCAGGTTAATGGAACATTCTTCCTTATACATTCCATCTCCTTTTTTTAAAGAAAGGTAAAAGGGGTTGACATTTGTGTATATAGATGTCAGTTTTATATCTCTGTTACACACTGGGTAGATGTTTGCTAGTATTAAATCATAACTATGATGCATTCATAATTCTTACTCCAATTTCACCTTTGCTAGACAGCAACCTTAGTATTCCCTATTCAATAAGGTGTGATAGTCTGTTACAAAAGCACTTGAAAAGTCTGTCGTTGAAGACTAGTGATTAACGAGATGGTTACATAATTATCAAGGTAAAATTAGAACTAGCTAGGAGTGTCCACTGTATTTATAGTATCTTACTTTCTTCTAGAAAAATGGCTCAGGTTTATTTAATATGGGTGGAGACAGTGTTGAGACAAGTTCATGAGTTGTTGATGGTTACTGTTAGGTAGGTGACTGGAGTCATAGTTGCCACACTAATGTAGCTACTTCTGGTTCTAGAATCCATGCATCACGGCAGTGTCATATGGGGTCTTAAAGGTTAATAAGGTAGGAATGTTTAACTGTTACACATTGAAACAAGTAAAACTAAGTTATTTTTTTCAGGTAACATCAGGAAAGTTAAATAATACTTCACATCAAGGAATCTTGGTCTAAATTAACATTAATGTAAAGCACTTGATGCTGTGGTTGAATTGCTGGGATCTTTAAGGCAGTAACTAATTAAAACCTACTCTCAGTGGTGGAGCAGTTTCTTCCTGCTCTGAGAGTGAAGGTGTCAGAGTGACCTTGGACTAGAAATTCAGCTTGCTTAATAGATTTGTTACCGCTGTTAAAACTGAGCTCTATTGTAGTTTGTTGGTGCCAGGGGATGGCTAATGTGAAATGATTTAGAATAAGAGAACAGCAGGATGAAGTAGGGCAATTCAAGAGAACACAATTATAATTAACTTGCCAAGGAAACTTACAAACATCAGACACTTGCTTTTGTACTCTGTTGCTGCATGAACTGGTAAGACAAACAAGTCACATTTGATTTCACAGTCCAGTGTTCCTAACCTTTGACTGACAGGCTGATATTCATTAGTCTGACCTCAATTTTAGTGGGTCGTATCCACTGTCTTGGTATAATGGCCTCTTTTTAGAGAGAGTGTTCTGTTACTGTAAAATGTGCAGATGTCAGAGTAATTTTATTGTAGGCTGATTTTTGGATTAAAGTGGCCACAATTTTAAAGAATTAACATGTAGGCCTACAAAAACAATGAGAAGTCCTGTGGCACCTTAAAGGCTAAGAGATTTATTTGGGCATAAGCTTTCATGGGTCAAAGCCACTTTATCAGATGCATGGAGTGGGAAAAGGTACGGACCTATAGTTACTTCACAGTAAGATCTGAGAATACGCTGGTTATTCCCCTAAAGATGGAGCTATAGAGAAACATTGTCTTTTTAAAATAACTACCAAGTCTCTAGTCAAAAAATGGCTTTTCCTATTTTATATACAATGCACTTTGCTTTATAAATCAATTATAGTACTTCTCTGCCTTTCATTACCCACATACTTTTATTGTGGCTTTTAAAACTTTATTTTGAACATTTTTACTTGATTTCATTCCTTCCCTTCTTATTCTGTGCAACCTTTGTGATTTTTTCCCCCCCCCCACCAGTGTCACTGTTGCTCTTTTCATCTTGTGAAGTCTCTCAACACTTACTGTCTTGTGCACTTTCAGTTTTTCTCTTATTTACTCCAGAGTGTCAAGTAAGCCTGTACCCATTCCATGCACCTATTTCCCCATGAAAGGACTCGTTGAGCTCTCGCCCCAACGTTATGCCATGCTACTTAAATATGTCACCTTCGCTTATTTTTTTGTTTAGTCCATTATAAGTATTTTCTAGTGTCTGTGCCCACTATGAATTTGAGAATGAATTTATGCAATCCTACCATAGAGCACAAAATCTGAGATCTAGGTATTTGGTCATTGCAATGTAGTATCACCAGACTTCTATCAAATTCTTTTCATTGGGGCCAGTTAATTTCAGGTGTTTTGATCTGTTGTTTCTCAGAAGTCAGACAGATGAAGGATGCCTCTACTCGCAGTAAAAACTAACTTGTATTATGATGTTTGTGGTTCTGTGTTCCAAAGTCTGGAAATGGTCCCATGTGTCGTCTTGTGTGCTGATACATTAATAGTTTAATAACTATGAAAATAACTGCTGCTTTTTCAAAATGAGCACAAACCTAAGCAGCACTGGGAGGCTGACAACCTCCTCTGATATGAATGTTTCTGTAAGTGACAAAAACAAGTGCTTGAGACCAAGAATCCAAACTACACCTCTTTTCCCATTGAGAGAGCTTGCAATAATTCATAGCATCCCACACATTGCTATAGCTGTTCACCAGGCTCACATCAGCACTAGAGAAGGAGAAATATTGTGTTTTTAGGATTGTGTGATTATAAAGGGCATAGATTCACCATGGACTGAAATAAAGCAATAGGAAACATGGCCTAGATATCTATGAAAACTTCCCAAAACGCAAATTTGTTGAGATTTAAAGCTCGATGGAACACAATGAGGAATAATTCTGCATTGTTAAGGGGTTGGATAGGATGCTTTTGTGCTTCTAAATTGAATGTCAGGTACTCGGGCTCTGATTTGTTTTTAACCAGGAGAGGGCAGTAGTACACAGACACACACACACACACATTGAATTGAAGCCCCAGCTGGCTTGAGAAACTAAAGTACTTGAGATGCATTTGAGCTCAGGTTTCCCATTGTGTGGCTTGTGTTTGGCTAATAGCTAAATGATAGAAATGTAGCCCTGTTAGTCTGGTGTAGCTGAAACAAAAAACAGGACTAACAAGATAGTTTATTAGGTGATGAGCTTTCGTGGGCCAGACCCACTTCCTATTTGATCTGAGGAAGTGGATCTGGCCCACGAAAGCTCATCACCTAATAAACGATCTTGTTAGTCTTTAAAGTGCTACATAGTCCTGTTTTTTGTTTCAGCTAATAGCTAAGTGATTAATGTGGCACAGTTCACTCTAAATTTGTTGGTTGCTGCTTTTTCCATCTCCGTTTTGTTCAGTCATTATTGTGAAATCACTTGTTGGGCAGATTGCTAAGGTGAAGCACTCTGGTAGGAGAGGAGTTTACTAGTCATTTATTTAAAAGGAAACTTTTTATTGTATTGGAGAATAAAATTCTAGCCAGTGTTTGATTTTTAACATGGGAGAAATTTTACATTTTCTGTACAGTACATTCAAATAGAGCACCGACTTATTTGTTAATATTTCACTCTAAACATTGTTTTTATTTTTACAGGAGTTTATTTTATCAGAAGATTACAACAAGATGACACCAGTCAAAAGTTACCAGGGTGAGAAATTTAATCTGTGTTAGCAGAGTTATATATTTGCATTTGTTTTAATATCATTGATTGGGTCTGAAAAAACCCCACAATTTTTCTCTTTTGCAGTAGGAGTAAAGTAGTATTTCCCATAATTAATTTACTAATATAAAAATTTAATTTGTCATTTCATTAATACTATACTGTGTTATTGCGAGATTACAAGACTGAAAAAGCAATGAGTTGTTTAAAATGTTTGAGTCATACTGTGTTTTTTCTGGGTAAATTCCTTAAAATCTGGTCTTTCTATTTGAATCTTTGGCAGCCCAGCATATCTAATGAAGATATAAAAATCCTGTCCCCTTTTATCTTAAATGCCCACATCTATTTAAAGAGACCAGATACTCATTACATTTCAAATTAGATATATTACTACAAGATTAAATACTAATTCATACCTTCCATCTAATAACATTCTAATGTTCACTAATGAGCTCTTCTAAAAGACCTAGCTGTCCCTACTTTTGCTTGTGAGATCACAAAGGTGTTCATACCAGTATTCATCATAAATTCAGTTTCAACTGATGACTATTGTGTAGTCCTTCTCCCCCCCTCCCCCTTTGTAATCTACATGCCTGAAAGGAAGAGAGATACACTATACTGAATGGTATAAGTATGGTGTTTCCACATAGAAACCTTGAGCACTGATTGATGTTCAAAAGATGAATGTGAATTATTTCAAAAGTTCTATGCTGAGGTTCTAAATGTGACCACTGTACTTTCAAGAGATGATGCCTGGGGGTCATACCCTTGAAAGCTTAAAGAATCTTGATCTTCACGAATGAAAATGAAACACATTTTTGCTTTTAAAAGTCTTACTTTAGATCACTTTCACTTAAGCTGCCTGGTATGTTATAATATCAAGCAAGAAACAATAAGTAAGTTTGTGTTAATATGTACTCTCCAGAAATAGACTTAAAGTAAAATGTACGTGCATATCTTAAAACTCTAGATTGGTTTAAAATATACAAAAACAAAAAAACCCTTTACTATGTCAGAGTTTCTGACTGATGTGCTGGAAGGCCCTGATCCTCTTACACACGTCTGGTATGTTATAATATCAAGCAAGAAACAATAAGTAAGTTTGTGTTAATATGTACTCTCCAGAAATAGACTTAAAGTAAAATGTACGTGCATATCTTAAAACTCTAGATTGGTTTAAAATATACAAAAACAAAAAAACCCTTTACTATGTCAGAGTTTCTGACTGATGTGCTGGAAGGCCCTGATCCTCTTACACACGTCTTAAGTCTCATTGAGTTTTACATGCATGCATTGGAGGCTGCAGGATCAGAGCCTAAATGAAATTCATTAGTGGGAGGAATGAAAAATGGACTAAAACCTTCCTTGTCTTTTTACCCTACCACTTTTCTCAATGCTTGTAGGTGTGTTTAATATGTACACACAGATTTCTTGCTGTTGCTGAATTAGTATTTGAGTACTGCCAATGCTTGAGAATTCTGCAATATGATATGATGCAGGGTAACCAATGAATGACTCTGATTTTCACCCCACCCATTGTAGCAGGCTTACCAGAGGGGGACCACTCTCTGTAGTTCAATGAGATCCTAGATAAAAGCTGGCTGTTATGCTTATAAGAAGCACATAGGACCTTTTTCAGGGGAAAAGGCAATAACTATGTTTATTGAAAATATATCCTGAAAAGCAGAGTATTCATATGCATACATGCTCACACATACGTCCTGCAGATGGTCTTTTATAGTTACCAATCTGTAGTGCCTTGAGTCTGTCAAGGCTAGTTAGGTTGAACAGGAATGAGGAGCTGGGCTCTGTTGGTCATGATCTGATGCTGCAAGGCTATCACCTGTGGGGGAAGAGGTGTTTCCTGTCATTATCCTTCATCAGCATTTTGAGGATTCTCCCACATCTGGTTTTACCTTTCTCTATTAGGTGCTTACTGGATAACAGTTAACAGGTACCTGAGAAGTACCCCCCCCCCACCCCCCTTGCAGCCCTGCCATGGGAGCTGGGAGTCAGCAGCCCCACATGGGGCCAGAAGCAGCCAGGCTGAAGTAGCACCCGTTAATCAGTTAACCAGTTGTACTTAATGTTTAACCAGTTAACCAATTAAATGGAATTTTACATCCCTATTATCTGTTACCTTGCCTTCAGGGGTATATACTTATGCTTTAGGGACATGGATCTGCTTGCTTGTTTAGCAAAACCCTGGTACCTCCAATTCTCTCATTCCTTCTTGACCATCTGGACATTTGTGATGGCTTTCACACTTACCTTATCCACTGTGCACACATCCTTCACTCTCACCAAACAATTTTACAGAGAATTTCAGACAAGATTACATTTTCGACAGGATTATAGCGTTATTAAAGAAATTACCAAAAAAACCACCTTACACAACTTAATTTGTATTGCAGACAAAGACGCACGACTTAATTTGGACGCACGACTTAATTTGTAATACAATCAAGTAGTAAAACTTTATAGCAAACACTGTAAAACGAAAAAAAGTCCTAAGATAAAAGAAATGGCTATAAAAAGCTATCATCTCTCTTCCTGCCTTAACATCAGGATATGCACGTATCAGCTTACCCGATACATATCTACCAACGGCTCAAGCCATTCCTTCTCGCTAACCATAAAGGGTGGCTAGCAGGGTGCAACAAAAGCATGCAGAACTTATACACAAATATATAGGACTTGTTGCCTTCATTATACTTATGCAAACGGTAAGAAGCTACATTTTGGGTATATAGTGCTTCTGACCAATTAAGTACAGCACAGATTGGCTTTAAAATAATCAGTAGTTTTGTGTGCTATCAATCCCACTTCCATGGTTATAAAACAGGGTTTGGAGTAGGGATGTGAACGTTTAACCAATTAACCAGGCCTCACCCCTTAATGAGTGAAGCTTACCGACTAAGATTAACTGGTGCGGGCTGGAGCAGCTCCCAGTCTGCTGTTGGCAGAGAGCTACTCTGGCCCCATGAGGTGCTGCTATGGACGGGCCTGTCCCATCATCTGGAGCAGCTAGACTCTAGTGGCCTCCCCGCCTACCCTCTCTTTAATATGTTAACCAGTTAAACAATATGGTGAACTGGTTAACCAATTAAATGGGAACTTACATCCCTAGCTTGGAGGTGTGTAGGAACAGGAGTGTTGCAACCTGTTTTGCAGATTAGCACATATGCAGCTGGATGAGATATGTACCTGGCACAACTTAAATTTTAGTCTAGTAAACTGGCTTGTTTACTGTAGGGACACATCTATACAGCAGGGCAAAAGTTGAATTAAGCTATGCAACTTAAGCTACACAATTAATATAGCTCAAATTGAAATGGCTTAATTCAGCTTTTGGCACTACCTCCACAGAAGGAAGTTGAAGGAAGAACACCCTTCTTTAGAACATAAGAACATTAGAATGGCCGTACTGGGTCAGACCAAAGATCCATCTAGCCCAGTAGCCTGTCTGCTGACAGTGGCCAGCACCAGGTGGACCGAAGACAATGATCAAGCAATTTGTCTCCTGCTATCCTTCCAAACAGAGGCCAAGGACACCATTTTATCCCCTGGCTAATAGCCTTTTATGGACCTAACCTCCATGAAATTATCTAGCTTCTCTTTAAACTCTATTATATCCTAGCCTTCACAACCTCCTCTGGCAAGAAGTTCCACAGGTTTACTACACGCTGTGTGAAGAAGAACTTTCTTTTATTAGTTTTAAACCTGCTACCCATTAATTTCATTTGGTGTCCTCTAGTTCTTCTATTATGGGAACTAATAAATAACTTTTCTTTATCGGCCCTCTCCACACCACTCATGATTTTATAGACCTCTATCATATCCCCCCTCAGTCTCCTCTTTTCTAAACTGAAAAGTCCCAGTCGCTTTAACCTCTCCTCATATGGGACCCGTTCCAAACCCCTAATCATTTTAGTTGCCCTTTTCTGAACCCTTTCTAAGGCCAAAATATCTTTTTTGAGGTGAGGAGACCACATCTGTACACAGTATTCAAGATGTGGGCATGCCATAGTTTTATACAGGAGCAGTAAGATATTCTGTGTCTTATTTTCTATCCCTTTCTTAATAATTCCTAACATCCTGTTTGCCTTTTTGACCACCGCTGCACACTGTGTGGAAGTTTTCAGAGAACTATCCACGATAACTCCAAGATCTCTTTCCTGATTTGTCGTAGCCAAATTAGCCCCCATCATACTGTATGTATAGTTGGGGTTATTTTTTCCAACGTGCATTACTATACACTTATCCACATTACATTTCAGTTGCCATTTTGTTGCCCAATCACTGTTTGGTGAGATCTTTTTGAAGTTCTTCACTGTCAAGACAGAAGCAGATGGTCTTAAACAGTTTAGTATCATCTGCAAACTTTACCACTTCACTGCTTACCCCTTTCTCCAGATCATTTATGAGTAAGTTGAACAGGATTGGTCCCAGGACTGACCCTTGGGGGACACCACTAGTTACCCCTCTCTATTCTGAAAATTTACCAGACCTTTGTTTCCTGTCTTTTAACCAGTTCTCAATCCATGAAAGGACCTTCCCTCTTATCCCATGACAATGTAATTTACACAAGAGCCTTTGGTGAGGGATCTTGTCAAAGGCTTTCTGAAAATCTAAGTATACTATATCTACTGGATTCCCCCTTGTCTGCATGTTTAACACCTTCAAAGAACGCTAATGGATTAGTAAGACATGATTTCCTTTTACAGAAACCATGTTGACTTTTGTCCAACAAATGATGTTCTTCTATGTGCCTGACAATTTTATTCTTTACTATTGTTTCGACTAATTTGCCCAGTACTGAAGTTAGGTCTGTAATTGCCAGTATCACCTCTAGGGCCCTTTTTAAATATTGGTGTCACGTTAGCTACCTTCCAGTCATTAGGTACGAAAGCCGATTTAAAGGATAGGTTACAAACCACAGATAATAGCTCAGCAATTTCCCATTTGAGTTCTTTTAGAACCCTTTCAACTTCCCTTACTCCTCATAAAATGAGGATTGCAGGAGTTGGAGTAAGAAGTCCTTCATCTTACCATTATTTCAAAATAATGGCTTTCAGCATAGACACTCTTTGTTATTTCAGAATAACATCAGTGGACATATTCATGAAGTTTGGATGCCACTGTGAGAGCCACGTGTATGTGTTGAGTTACCATGGCATGAAGAAACTGATACTGAAAAGAGGGGGCTCTAATAACAGATGTGTATGCAAATTTTACACCATTAATTAGAACTAATTCCTCTATAAGATTCAATAGACAGTATACATATATTTGTATGGCCAATGCAGCAACAAAAATATACCAGTCTTCATTTTAGCATTGTGTTCTGAGTAATTTTGCTTTTTAAAAAAATATCAGAATACTGCTGCAAAGGTATTAGATCTCTTTCCAGTGTTGGGTTTCACATAAACCGATGAAAGCAGTCTACTTTGCATAACATATGTCTCAAGGTCCCAGAACTATAATAAAACAGTAGGTTTGTGTATTGCAGAATATAGCATTTACTGTTATGAAGCAGTTGGGAATAATTCTGTAAGCTATTTTTCAAACCTCTTTATTTAAAACCATTCAATCAGAACTTCACAGTTCAGCCTAGAGGCTACTGACTCAAAGAGCTAGTGGAAGATAGGGCTCCATTTCTTACGTTAAAAGCTCTTTGTAGATTTTATTTATGTAGAAGTAGAAGTCTATTTGTTCAGATGTTTTATTGATATTGACCAGGTGTGATCTTTATATAGCATTTTTTCATCATCCTGTTTCCAATAAGTTATCTGTGTGCAAATACACACATACAACATCAAATGATTGGACAGATTACCTAACATTGGCGTCCTGGACCAGCCCCTGCATTACTACCTTTGAGTTTGCAATCATAGCGGGGCAACTTGGCTGGACTGGTAACCTTGCATATTCAGACGATACAAACTCCCCAAAGCCATGTTTTGTAGACATTTGAAAATGGGACAGCTTGTGCTAGGAGGCTGATGAAAGCAATATAAACACAGGCTCAAAGCTCATCTAAAGGCAGACCAGGTCAGCCTAAATTCAGTAGAAACTGCTGCTGTCAATAGATCATTGGTCCTCAATAAAGCCATCGAATAGCAGACCAGAAAAAGCCGAAGAGAGGTGTCATCAAACAAAGCAGACTCTGGCAAAACCATGCAGCCATGTCTGTCCAATGTGCATGTGCATCTGGAGATTGCTCATAATTTTCCATTCACTCAAGGAGATGCACTGAAACAATCGGACTCTGATACGTTATCTGTGATTTAAGTCTCCAACAATGTGTGTTCAGTGCTAAAACTCAGGTTTAAGACAGTTTATGCTAACTCTGCAGGAAATCTGACTGCAGTTTGACCTACTAATAACAGTAATTGTGGGAGTGGAAATGTAGACAGGGCATGATATTTGTACCAGCCTGCTCATTAGATCTAAAAATCACAGCCTTGAGCCCTGCCCATAGAATGCTAGATCTGAAAGGGGCCTCGAGAGGTCATTGAGCCCAGTCCCTGCCTTCATGGCAGAACCAAACACCATCTTGATCATCCCTGATAGATGTCTGTCTAACCTGCTCTTAAATATCTCCAATGATGGAGATTCCACAACCTCCCTAGGCAATTTATTCCAGTGCTTAAGCCCCCAGATATTTAGGAGGTCTTTCCTAAAGTCCAACCTAAACTTCCTCTGCTGCAATTTAAGCCCATTGCTTCTTATCCTATCAGAGATTAAGGAGAATAATTTTTCTTCTTCCTTGTAACACTTGAAAGCTGCTATCATAGCCCCTCTCAGTCTTTCTCTTTTCCAAACAGCCGCTTTTTTCAGTCTTCCCTCATAGGTCATGTTTTCTAGACCTGTAAGTATTTTTGTTGCTCATCTCTGGACCTTCTCCAGTTTCTTCACCTCTTTCCTAAAATGTGGTGCCCAGAACTAGACACAGTACCCCAGTTGAGGTCTAATCAGTGCAAAATAGAGGGGAAGAATTACATCTTGTGTCTTGCTAACACTCCTGCTAATGCATCCCAGAATATTTGGGGTGTTTTTTTTTCCCCAACAGTGTCACACTGCTGATTCCTATTTAGTTTGTGGCCCACTATGACCCCTACATCCCTTCCTGCAGTACTCCTTCCTAGATAGTCACTTCCCATTCTATTCTGTATGTGTGAATCTGATCATTCCTCCCGAAGTGGAGTACTTTGCATTTGTCCTTCTTGACCTTATCCTGTTTACCTCAGACCATTTCTCCAGTTTGTCCAGATCACTTGCAACCCCTCCCAGGTTAGCATCATATGCAGACTTAAAAAGAGTACTCTGTATGCCAAATCTATACTATACTAAATATACTGTACTAAATTTTTGTTCAGTATCTTCGTCAGAACTGGACCCAGAACTGATCCCTGCGGAACACCATTTATGTCCTGCCAGCATGACTGTGAACCATTAATAACTACTCTGAGAATGGTTATCCAGCCAGTTGTACACCCTCCTTTATAATAGCCTCATCTATGTTGTGTTTCTCTAATTTATTATCATGCGAGACTGTATCAAATACTTTATTAGAGTTTAGGTAGATCGCATCTAACACTTCCCCCTTATGCACAAGACCTCGTTTATCCTGTGAAAGGTAATACTAACATTACCAGTGCTGATATTGCAGTGATGGGCAATTTTCTGAAAAATGCAAGTGTAAGCAAAAGTATATCTTAGTAGAATTTCAGAGCTATGAATGCTTCTGGAATAGAGTTAACTCTGAACAAACTGTTACACTGTTTACAATTGAACATGGACTTAATGCCGCTTTGGAACTAGTATGAAGAAATTACTGTCCCTCTCCCCACCCCCCAACCCCACCCCTCTTTTTTTTTTTTTTTAAATGGTTTATATTTAACACCGTACTCTATTTGTGTTTCTCTGCTGGTGCTTGGTTGCATACTTCTGATTACAAAGGAGGTGCATGTGATTGGTCAGTTTGTAACTGCGGCGTTTGAAACCTTGAGGTTCTCCTGTATCATGTGGACAAAAGGCTTCCAAGATTGGATGCATGTAGTCAGTCACATGACCAAACCTATTAGAACTTTAGTTGGGATTATGGGCGGGGATAAAGTCTTGCAGAATTGGACATTAGAAGCTGTTTGGTACGAAGGGATTGATGGTTGTGGATTTTTTTTTATAGCAAATGAGTGACCTCTTCTTTATTGAAACAAAAAACAGGACTATGTAGCACTTTAAAGACTAACAAGATGGTTACATTTCTATCGCTTTTCTTTATTGTGTGTGTGTGCATTTTCTGCTTGATTTCCAGCTCACCAAGGCAGAGTTATGATGATTCTGTTTGTGCTGGAGATGGAGTGGGTATTGAGCACAGGACAGGACAAGCACTTCACATGGCACTGCTCGGAGAGTGGGCAGCGACTCGGAGGGTACCGCACCAGCGCGGGGGCCTGTGGCCTGCAGTATCCTTTGTTGATATCTCAGCTTTTCACTTTCTTTTCTTTGGCACTTCTTTGTTTAAAACAGGCTTTTTCAAGCCTTTGTCATTTTACCCTTCTGTATTAAAACCTGGCTAGGCTGGAGTAGCTCCCGCTGCCCACCACGGCTTGGCTGGAGCCTCATAGATTTCTCCTTTTTATACATTGAGGTATATTTAGATTTAAACACTTTTGTAAACTCAGTGACCTGTCCATTCTTAAAAGCTGCATCTGATTGTGGTCTTACTGTAAGAGAGAGATTGACCTTCATTTAAAAAAATGGGACCTTAAATGGGACCTTCATTTAAAAAAATGCTTCTTTTGGGGGAATTCTAATAGCAGCTAACTAGGTTAGTGATTAAGTTAGTGTGCTCATGCACTAGGCAAAAATTAAATGACTTAATATGAAATAACTAGATGATTTACTTAGTGATGCTCAGGTCCTTAACTCAGTTTTTTAAAAATAAAATGAAAATGCACGTGCTTTATTTAAATCATTGCTCTGGAGTGGGGCTGAGGATGAGTGTGCAGTTTGCAGGCTGCCCCAGGGAGAGAGGACAAACCCAGCCCTCTTTCACCACAGCAGCATGGGGTCAGGTGAGAAGCTCCTCTTCATGGCTGCTGCAGTGCTTGTCCCCTGTCTGGGCCAGGTCCAGGTTCATCTGCCCCCCAACATTCCCTGAGCTAGAGTGGGAGATGCAGCAAATGATGCACTTCCTCTTGCTCCTTGGTGAAGAGGAACAGCCAGCAATATTCCTCCATACAAATCTGTTCCCTCTCCCCCAACTCCCCAGGAAAAAAGCACTTTTGGGGGGGAGGCTAGAGGCTAAGGCAGTCCCCAATCCCAGCGGGGGTTGGGGAGCATGCCCCCAGCCAGTCCCTTTCACCTGCCCGCTGATTCTGTCTCTTTTCTGTATGGTTTTGAGATTCAGTCCCATCCCAACAATATCCCAGGCTACACTACCATTTTTTTGAGGAAGAGGATATGCAAATCGTGCTCACATTTGCATATCTTCTTCCTATTCTTTTTGCGGAAGAGGTATTGCCAATAAGCCCCATGTAGACGGGGTCATTTGTCGGGGAAAAAAAACTCCTCTTTCACAAGATCCCTTATTCTTCAAAAATCGAGGTTTACAGGATCTTGTGAAAGAGGGTTTTTTTCAGATAAATAGCCTCATCTACATGGGACTTTTTATAGGCAAAACCTCTTCCACAAAAAGAATCAGAAGAAGATATGCAAATGCGAGCATGATTTGTATATTCTCTTCCTCAAAAAAGTGACAGTGTTGCTGTAGCCCCATTTTCCTGGTATAACCAAAACCTTGCCTTGATTTAGGTTATGATAAGAAGAAGCTTTATCCTGACTTTGCTGGTCCTCGTTCTTTCCAATTTGGAGGGGCTCTTGAATAAACAAACAAACTCTTTCAAATATTTAGTAGTTCATATCCTCTACCTTGTACTTGTGAAATATGGGCTCAGCTGGAGTGTAAATTATTCCTAAAATGTTACTCAAACAGGTTCATTTTCCAAGATCTGCCCCTAGATGCTTCACGCAAGAAATTTCGACTCTTGTTTGATCTGTGATAAATTGTGAGTTTAAAAATAATCTTTCCTAAAAATTAAGACAATGGAGAATTCAATGAGTTGTTAAAGTTTCTGCAGCACAATCAATTTCCATTTTACTAGTTCATCATAACCTAAAGATCGAATCGGCAGGAAACCAACTTCTGTACAAACAAGTGAAAATTGACAAGCTTGTGCACCCTGTCCAGGCTGAGTGAAGTGTGAAAACAAGTGTAAACAGTGTAAGTAGTATCAGAGGGGTAGCCGTGTTAGTCTGAATCTGCAAAAGTGCCACAGGACTCCTCGCCGCTAGTGTAAATAGTGAATAACTTCTACTTCTAAAATATTTACCATGGTTAGTATAAAGTATTGAGTAACACAGGATCCTGTTGTCCTTTCCGCTGCCTAGTTCCCTTGAGGGTTTCAGGATTCTTTCTCTACCACATGGTGACCATTTGAACCGGACCTTTACATCATGTCAGAATGGCAGCTCCTGTGTTTCTGTTAACCCAAACAAATCAAGTAATAGAGTGGCAGTGCTAACAACCTTATTACCTTGTTAATTTCTGACTGTGTTCCCTGCAGTGCTTCTTGAGTTCAGAGTCCATAGTTCTTCGGTTATGTCTACGTTGTTTAACACACAGACACCGTTTCAGACCATGGCTCTATAGACTCAGGTGTGTAAGGCTTGCTCTGTGGTGTGCTAAAATAGCCATGCAGACATGGTCATGCTCAGGCTGAGGTTTAACTCTGAAATCCATATATCCCTCTTCTCCCCCATTCTTCACAACCACACCGCAGAACCCTAGCAGAAAGGTGTATGCAGCCAAGTTTAGCACCATAGCACGAGCCCAGGTCCGTACCCAGCTCTGAGACTCATTGTAATGTGTTTGCCATGTGAAGGTTCCCTTTGATTACAGAAGACTTTAGTGCAATGCAGCCTCAGTGCCAGTATCCCATTCCTCAAATATATAAGGTGCAACTAAAATTAGATGGAAGAGCTATAACCTGTCAGAATTGATTATTCCAGTAATTGGTTGTAATCTCAGCATATTTGGACCACACTTCAGGAAGCACCTATTCAAACTGGCATTTCCTCCAAATATGTCATGAGACACTAACAGCCACGTACTAGAAACTATTTTAAAAGGTGGGAGGAGTCATGCATCTTTAATCACAGAGAGCACGGTGTTACTGTGAGGGGAATGTCATAAATGCATAATAGTAGTTGCTGCAACCGGGACTGCAGTGCAATACAATAATTACTCCGCTTTTTGTTTAAATATGAACTGCTGTGTAACTGTTCATAAAAATGTCACATGTTCTTATAAACATCCCCGTAGTTCAGAGCATCTGTTGAGCCTTTCCAGAAAATTCCTCAATGCTGTCAATCAGATTTGATGTTGAGACCCGACATGTGTTTATAGGTGACCATTCAGGGCAGGTAACCATTCTCAAACTAGAGCAAGAGAACTGCAGCCTTGTCACCACGTTTAAGGGACATACAGGTAAAGTTTAAGGTTAAATAATCCCCTCTTGTTCTTCATATAGCCTCTGCGTTACCATGGGATGATGCTTTAAAATTTTAAAGTAGCTGTGGTGATTTGAAATGTCTGTATTTTCGGGGGCACAGTAGTTGAGCTTGAACTGTCAGCAAGGGGAAGGGGGTAATTTGGTCTCATTATACACAGGAGGGGAGCCAGATTTAAATGATGAATGTTCTGCACTTTAATTACATTACTTGGGTAGGAAAGTGCTACAACTAATGCCCAGGTAGATAAGACCCCAATCCTGCATCTGACATGTGCATCTAGTAGCCATATTTGTAGTCAGTTGAACTGCTCAGGGTAGGCCATACTCTGTGCTGCATTTCCAGGATATAACAAAAAGCATGTAAGGAGTTGAAGTTTAAAAGTGCATACCCATTGCAGGAGCTGACGGGTCACTTCGCAGCTGGAGCTATCTTACAATAAATATACTTTAAAGCATTACCTTATGGTTGGTGTGTGAGTCCACCATTACAACCTGTGCTTATGGAGGGGGAGAATGATGGCTCATTCTTTATTGATCAATTTCTTTTTCCCCTGTGGCAATTCACTGGCCTCAGTGGACCTCCACGTTATCCTACCGCTCTAAGTCAAACCAGTCATCTGATGCTGAGTGTGGAAAGTGTTTTGACAACCCACTGACATACTAGCCCTTTGAGGCAAGGCTGCTCAATCCGCATGCTGCAATTTTTATGGTGACATCACTTCTCGTTATTCCCTGATGTCTCCGCGATCCGTCACAAACTCTACCTCTAGGATGTGGAGCTGGGTGGCTACATAACAGCAATTTGACTACTCATGAGGTGACTTCCTATCCTGAGATATGTTCACCATTCTCTGGGCTCAGTCTCATGAGCTAGAGAGCTGGGATTAGACTCTGCGCCAACAGAAAATCAGGATTTGAAATTGGCTCTGGTTTCTGAGATTTTTCAGTGAGGCTCATTCTGTGCCAGCCAGAAAGTCAGCATTGTGGGCAGTGCACATGCAGGGTGTGTTGGGTGCGTTTAAACTAAAGTCTCATCTCTTTTAAAAAAAAAAAAAAAAAAAAAAAAAGAGAGTCTCAATGATTTTATTACGTTCTTCCCTTTGCCCTTTTAGTGGTAATAAAAGAACTATAATGTTGTTCTTCTGTTTTTAGGTGGTGTCACTGCTCTTTGTTGGGACCCAGCGCAGCGAGTTTTGTTCTCAGGCAGTTCAGATCATTCTATTATTATGTGGGACATAGGAGGAAGAAAAGGAACAGCCATTGAATTACAAGGACACAAGTACGTTTGAAGAGTTTTTCCTTCTCCCGTGTTCAGGGGAGAAAAACTAAAAGCAGCAGTCACACTTGGAAGCTGAACCAAAGGGTTATATTCTAATGTCTGCATGGGATGTATGTGGGACTCCCTGTATCTTGAGTATTACTGAAGGTGGTTTTCCCTCATAGGGTTCAATCTCCTTTTTTTGGCATCAGAATTTTTCTTTTCCCCCTTTCAGGGAGCACAGTGTACCAGACACTTTAACTCCACACTCAGTATATTTTAAATGTGAATAGATGTAGAACCCAGGCTGTACTGAAGTGCTCTAATTAGCCAACCTTTTTCAGCATGTTAAATGTATGTTCATAAATATCAGCAACTGAGCAAGGCAGAACAGATGTCTGCTGTTGTAAAGGGAAGTACTGTACTGAAGAGGCCTATAGAGGAAGGAATGAGTTGGTGTTAGACCATTAATAAAGACTAATGAATGTTTTTCCAGTCACTGAATTACTATGACCGTGCATACTGACAGTTCAGAGGGACCTTCTGTTTGACTGTTTGGTCTTCCTTGATTTCATGGTTCTGTACCACTTCAGCTGTGCATGCTTGGGACTTCCTAACTGATAGTCAATCTTTATGCCTATTTATATTAAAACCTACTGCTGCATGCCCTGCTGACACTCACTGCTGTACCATCAGAGCATCTACCGTGCAGGCAAACCTCTGGATCTTATTTGCATTATGTTGATATTGGAGAACGTGCTGGTTCAGTGATATAATGCATTAAATTAGGTAGAACCACAGTAATGATAACATTTCCACAGTGTCCTGCCTTTGGAGTTGGCAAACCATAGACACACAATAGTCTGGAGCTGTTCTAAATTGCTTTCTAACAGCATTGCTACAGAGAGAAACATCTGTATACAAGGTAATGGACCAGTATTAAAGCACTTCTGAATATGAGCCTGGCTTGGTGTCACGCAGTGCTGGTGCCAAAGTTAGGGATGTTAAAAATCATGTCATAGAGAAAGTGTAACTGCTGAAAATCTCAGCGATTGAATGCACTGCTGGCTTTACTTTATACTAAGGATGTTAAATTGCGGTTAATTTATGAGTCGAGTAGTCGATAGGCATTTCCGCATTCCTCCTTTAAAATGTACATGAGCCCTTGCTGGCGCTCTTGTACATTTCAGAGGAGGAATGTGGAAAACCATGGGCAGTCCAGGACCAGCGGGCAGTCCCGATGACTCCGGGCTGCATGCAGGCGTGCCAGCTTTGAAATGTGCAAGCTCTTGCACATTTCAAAGCAGAAGCGCACTTGTGGAGCTCGGGGTCAGCTGGGGACTCCCCAGCTGATCCCGGGATCTGTGCAGCATTTCTTCAGAACCTGGGATCAGCTGGGGAGTCCCCACTTGTGGAGCTCGGGGTCAGCTGGGGACTCCCCAGCTAGCCCCAGGTTCTGAGTGGCATTTCCCCAGAACCTGGGGTCAGCTGGAGACTCCCCAGCTCACCCCGGATTCTAGAGAAATGCTGCATGGACTGCCGCACAGCTGAGCTGGGCTCAACTATGCAGCGCCGCCTTTTGAAGTTCTCTTCTCTCCCCTTCTCCCCCCGCCCCTCGCTGTCTCGATCTGAGGGACTTGACTAGTAGCTAGTCTTCAACATTCTTACTTTATACTGCAGAGCCCACAGTGAAGCCACCCCAGGAACCGGGCCACCAGGCCTGGTCCACCCAGCTCCAGCGGAGGTGGCTTTGCTGCCCTGCTGCAGTGAAGCAGCCTCCCCAGGAGGCTGAATGCAACTGACACCATTAACATCCACTTATCATTTAGTCATGTATATGCTAACATTTCTAGTCAAAGACTGGGGTGAAGTCCTGACCTAATCTGAGTGCTAAACCACCCCTGTTTTTGAAGATCCATTTTTTCTAGAGCCTCTTCTCTCTCCCCTCCCACCCCCGAAGACCAGTGCAAGAAAACAAAGTAAGCTCAAGTAATTCCTTCCCCTTGATATTTCTCTTGTGTAGAGCTGAGCACATTCCTTTTGTGCTTAACAAAGAATAATAAAAGGAGGAAGTGTCCATTTTTCTAAAAACCTTTAATCTTAAAATGTTAAGATGGTCTGGGGCAGCCTTATCAGTTCTATATTCTATTTGAAATTCTTCCCATTTGTTAGTGTTAAATTCGAAGACTCACAGCAGCAGCTTAAGTATTTTTCTCTTCAAGCTGCCAGATAACATTGGGTTTTTCATTGCTTCATTCCCAGGCACAGAGATTTAACAAATTAACCAATAACTGATAGATTTGTTCTTGGAGTGAGAGCTTACAGATATTTGGGACTATGTTTTTAGAGGTCATTCAATTACAATGCAACCGTGGCTTTCAAGAAAGCTAGGTCTCCAACCTAATTAACTAGGCAAGCAGTAGTTAGGTCTGGAAACTAATTTAAGTGGTATGATACCCAATGGGGACCAAATTCATAGCACATGGTACAGTACATAATATGTAATCTACTAATTGGAATTGTAGGATTATGGAACTTTATACATATGAATGAGCTGAGAGAGAAAAATATGACAAACCAGTTACTTTGCCTTGGGACATATATATCTCTAAACCTTTGACTAATTCTAAATGGTTTGTTACTAACTGATGCTGTATGTTTCTTTTGTAGTGATAAAGTTCAGTGTCTCTCCTATGCTCACCACACAAGACAGCTCATCTCCTGTGGTGCAGATGGTGGAATTGTTGTCTGGAATATGGATGTTGAGAGACAGGAGGTAGCTATCTCTTGTTCATCCTTTAAACATCTGGGGCTTTTCTAAAGTGTGTAATTTGAGTCTGATCAGTAACGTTTTAAAGGTTAGAAAATAAAACTAGTGTGTTAGGAATGCTCTAGTTACACCTGTGAAGTTGTGTGTGTGTGTGTGTGTGTGTGTGTGTGTGTGTGTGTGAGAGAGAGATCTTGTGGTACAGGGTACTTATGTGGCAGGGAGTTTGTGTTTTATACACATTGCTAAATAGTTTGTGCTCTGAAAAGTGACTCTGAAGAGGGCATCACAGTATGTTCCGCCTGTGTTTTTCAGTAACTCCATAGGATACAGTTATGAGTGTGCAAATAAGATTTCTGTTCTCTTACATATCAGAATGATTGTTCACGTTTCAATCAGTGACATCTGTACAAAACTTAAGAGGAAATTGGTTTATACCAATGGCCTAATTTAATATTTAGCAATGATGGCAAGGAGGAAACACTGACTTAAATCTCAGTTTTCAAGGATGTCAATCTACCATGTAAAAGATGGATGTTTGCTTTTTAAAAAAAAAAAAAAATCTGGAAACTCAGATTGCCATTTGATCCGCTTTTTTTTTTCTCCCTTCCTATTCTTACCAAAAATTGCTAAGGCTGTCCACATTAGGAATGTTTGGCCACTGAAGTGCTATTAACAAAAGTGAAAACCACTCAAACCAGTTTCTCTGCCTCCTACTGTTGATGTTTCATGGCCACATTGCTAGCACCCTGTCGACAGATAAATTGTTGTCGGTAAGCATCCCTCAGTGTAGTGTTGTGGGAAGGCAGATTTGATTCCTGCGCGTCTTGGGATTCCTTCGTAGCTCTGAGTTCTCCATGCAAAGGAATGTCAAAGCAGCACTGCAGTCTCTCTAGCCCTCCCCTTGTAGCAGCAGTCTGTGTGCTGCTGTGTTTCTAGCAGGCAGAACAGGAGCATTCCAAAGATTTGTTCTTTGTTCCTCCAAACCGAGCAGCTCGTTCAGATGTCAGATACTTCCCAGAGCTGTGAAAGGGGAGGAGTGTGTGCCTGTAGGGCAGGAGAGATCACAAAATACTGAGCACAGCCATCAGGGCAGGTATTTTGGGTTACTGGTGGAAGCTGGTTTTCTCAACAAGACAGAGTCCACGCTGGCTCTTTGTTGACAATAAAGGGAGGGGGGAAGAAAAAAGTCTCTCGCAGAGGTGGAAGTTTTTTTTCGCCAAAACTGGGTGTTTTTTCTGGACAAAAGTCACATTGTCGTGTGGTCGCTTTCACTGTTTTGTTGGCAAAAGGCAGATCTTGGTGACAAAATGTGCCAGTGTAGAGAAGGCCCGAATAGGCCCTGGGTTACAACTGTAATGCCACTACTGCTAATAGTTAGGACAAATGTAACAGATTAGCAGTTAATGAACAATTACTTTGATACATGACAGAACAGAATCCTACTTGCACACTCATAAGGTATTGCTTGCTATGGCTAATAACAAAAACAGTAGTAAAAATGACCTCTGTGCCTCTCGCATGTTTGGAGTAGCCTCAGTTTTGTAGTCTCTGTAGCTGAACCAGAGCTGAACCTTAGGTGTAGACAAGCACATGCAGGGCTTGCGCTCTCTGAGCTCAAGCTTTTCACTTCCTTGTAACTGATTAAACTCAAGCAGTAACGAACTTACTTATTCATTGCAGACTTCGATTTGTCCTTGAAAATGTTCTGGTTATTGCCTGGTGGCATTTTTCACTGATCAGATTTTTCCATTTAATATGTGTGTAGTATTCACTTCAATATTGCCGTTTCTACTGTGGAATTGCATGAGGAAAGCATTAAGCCATTTTATATTTTAATCCTTTTAAAATTATTTTCTCTCTCAATCTTAAAAGACCATAAGAAAGGAACACTTGAAAGAAGATAGAAGTTGTTTCCTTTTTACCAGTGAGCCATTATTGTCACAAGTAAAAGTGACATTTTCAAATGTAGGATTTCAGTGCTTAAGAGATGAAAGTCTTGTTTTCTCGGCACTCACATCTAATTAAAGACTTGGTTACTTTTAGAAAAATAGTGCGAACTGAGGACTACCTCTAAAGCACCTGCACGTCTGAGATAACCTAACAAAGAAGGCTGAGGTTCAGTTCCTTTAAGACTCCTTCCATTGTAGGGGGCTGGAGTGGAGGTTTGCATTTAAAGATTTCATCAGCCTTACGTTTCTTTTTGCTTTTGCTAAACTCCATTGTCATCTACACCTAATTAATTACAGTGTTGTACATTTCATTCCTTAATATTCGATACCTGTAAGCAGCTAGTGTGTCTTCTGAAGCCATTCCTGTAACTTGGGTGTGTACTTAATGAGGCAGTCTTCTAAAGAATCCCCTTCTGTGCCCCGTAGTGAGAACTGGATGTGGATTAAGGTGCATTTATATTAGAGCAACCTTGCAAAAGATGCGGGTGAAGGTGGTTGAGAGAGTGCAGCAGCTGATTCAAAGAGGAGTGTGACTTGTGGTAAGGCAGGCGAAAGACAAAGGCTAGAGGAAGGAAAATGCAGGAAAAAGATAAAAGCTAGAAGGAGGGAAACACAAGGGGGAAGAGTATTTAGAATATTAACACAAGGGGGAGGAATGTTTAGCATATTAAAGAGGAGTGTCCCTGCTTCCCAACAAGTGGCAAGGAGGTGGTAGCTCAGACCGCTGCCAATACAGCTGCTATCACTGAGTTGTTTCCCTGTTTCATGCCAGCAGGGTCATGATAGCAAAACAGGGCCAAGGGAATAATCCGTTTTCCCTCCCAGTAGAGGCTTGAGTTGTCCAGCATCACTCCTTCTATTGGTACTTGGGTTGGAGTGATGAGGCATGTAGGCATTGATAGCCTTTGTTGAGGCTTCTTCTTTCTTGACCCCAAGGGAATGCTGCAGCAAAAAAATGAAAATATCTGCACATTTTATTTGTCAAATTGCACTGTATAATCACGCCAATTTATTTCAAAATACATTGAGGTTATGGATTTCAGGAAGGCAGATTTTGATAAGCTCAGAGAACTTGTAGGTAAGGTCCCATGGGAAGCAAGACTGAAGGGAAAAACAACTGAGGAGAGTTGGAAGTATTTCAAAGGGACGTTGTTAAGGGCCCAAAAGCAAACAATTCCGCTGTGTAGGAAAGATAGAAAATATGGCAAAAGACCAGCTTGGCTTAACAAGGAGATCTTGCACAATCTCAAAATAAAAAAGGAGTCTCATAAAAAATGGAAACTAGGACAAATAACAAAGGATGAATATAGGCAAGCAACACAGGAATGCAGGGGCAAGATTAGAAAGGCAAAGGCACAAAATGAGATCAAACTAGCTACAGGCATAAAGGGAAACAAGAAGACCTTTTATAAATACATTAAAAGCAAGAGGAAGACCAAGGACAGGGTAGGCCCACTGCTTAGTGAGGAGGGAGAAGCAGTAACAGGAAACTTGGAAATGGCAGAGATGCTCAATGACTTCTTTGTTTCGGTCTTCACCGAGAAGTCTGGAGGTGTGCCTAACGTAGTGAATACAAGCAGAGAGAGGGTAAGTTTAGAAGATAGGATACACAAAGAACAAGTTAAAAATCACTTAGGAAAGTTAGATGTCAGCAAGTCACCAGGTCCTGATGAAATGCATCCCAGGATACTCAAGGAGCTGATAGAGGAGGTATCTGAGCCTTTAGCTATGATCTTTGAAAAATCATGGCAGACAGGGGAGATTCCAGAAGACTGGAAAAGGGCAAATATTGTGCCCATCTATAAAAAGGGGAATAAGAACAACCCAGGAAACTACAGACCGGTCAGTTTAACGTCTGTCCCAGGGAAGATAATGGAGCAGGTAATTAAGGAAATCATATGCAAACACTTGGAAGGTAATAAAGTGATAGGGAATAGCCAGCATGGGTTTGTGAAGAACAAGTCATGCCAAACTAATCTGATAGCTTTCTTTGATAAGATAACGAGCCTTGTGGATAAGGGAGAAGCGGTGGATGTCATATACCTAGACTTTAGTAAGGCATTTGATACGGTCTCGCATGATATTCTTATTGATAAACTAGGCAAATATAACTTAGATAGGGCCACGATAAGGTGGGTGCATAATTGGCTGGATAACCGTAGTCAGAGAGTTGTTGTTAACGGTTCTAAATCCTGCTGGAAAGGGATAACAAGTGGAGTTCCTCAAGGGTCTGTTTTGGGACCCATACTGTTCAATATCTTCATCAATGATGTAGATATTGGGATAGAGAGTACGCTTATTAAGTTTGCAGATGATACCAAACTGGGTGGGGTTGCAACTTCTTTGGAGGATAGGGACATAATTCAAAATGACCTTAGCAAGTTAGAGAAATGGTCAGAGGTAAACAGGATGAGGTTTAATAAAGAGAAATGCAAAGTGCTCCACTTAGGAAGGAACAATCAGTTCCATACATACAAGATGGGAAGCGACTGTCTAGGAAGGAGCATGGCAGAAAGGGATCTAGGGGTCATAGTGGACCACAAGTTGAATATGAGTCAACAGTGTGATGCTGTTGCAAAAAAAGCAAATATGATTCTAGGTTGTATCAACAGGTGTGTTGTAAGCAAAACTCGTGAAGTCATTCTGCCGCTCTACTCTGCACTAGTTAGGCCTCAGCTGGAGTACTGTGTCCAGTTCTGGGCGCCACATTTCAAGAAAGATGTGGAGAAATTGGAAAGGGTACAGAGAAGAGCAACAAGAATGATTAAAGGTTTAGAGAACATGACCTATGAAGCCAGGCTTCATGAACTGGGCTTGTTTAGTTTGGAAAAAAGAAGATTAAGGGGGGACATGATAGCGGTTTTCAAATATCTAAAAGGGTGTCACAAGGAGGAAGGAGAAAATTTGTTCCTCTTGGTTTCTGAGGACAGGACAAGGAGTAATGGGCTTAAAGTGCAGCAGGGGAGGTTTAGATTGGACATTAGGAAAAAATTCCTAACTGTCAGGGTGGTCAAATATTGGAATAAATTGCCAAGGGAGGTGGTGGAATCTCCCTCTCTGGAGATATTTAAGAACAGGTTAGATAGACATCTGTCAGGGATGGTGTAGACGGAGCTTGGTCCTGCCTTGAGGGCGGGGGGCTGGACTCGATGACCTCTCGAGGTCCCTTCCAGTCCTATTATTCTATGATTCTACATGTCAGCAGGTATGTTGGTAACAACACAGACACAGACGAAAATTTCCTGGGGAGCAGACAATTCAAGAAACCCCCATAACAACCCATTTCTGTTTGTTTGTTTTTTTCTGTCCCCTCCTCCTAGAGCCCAGCATGGGAGCCAGACACCCACACCCCATCTCCAGCAGAGCCCAATCGGGGTGCTTCCCCAGCCCAGACACACTGACTCCCAATCTCTCAGAGCCTAGATGTGAGGTCCTCTGGCCCAGATACCCTCATTCTCTATCTTCCTAGAGCCCAAGGATCAAGAGGGAGAAACAGCCTGATGCTGGCTCCCAGGCTTGCACAGTTTCCTGAACTCCTGCTCCTTCCTTCAGAGCATATCGGGAACTGCAGCTACTGGGAACCCTCCAGTTCCTTCATACAGCTTGAATGTCTGCAAAATTCTTGCGTTGTTCAGTGATGCAGAATTCACCCAGGAGTAACACTTACCCACTTCACTCAAAGTATGAAGGGCATGGCAATAAATCAAACTGTATTAGAAAACAGTGGGTTTTTTTACTACAAATAAAGGCTAGCAACATGAATTACCTGGTTCTAAGTGGTGCTGAGCACCGACAAGTGGGTCCAGGCAAGGTTGCAGGAGCCTTGGCCTGAGTCTCAGATGTGCCGAGTATCTGAAGCTCTCATTGGAGCCAGTTGCAAGTGCTCAGCATTGCTCCAAAATGCACCATTCATTTCAGGCATCTAATTTTATGCTTCTATGTTTCCAGCAAATGTCCTTCCTTTCACAGTAGAATCTTGCATTATGAGTAGGGTGAGAAATCTTCCTCCCATGTGAACTTTCAGAACACAGCAAAATAAATCCCAGGAAACACCTTGATATTTTTTTTAAGCTGCTGGAGTTGAAGCTGACTGTTGTGCATGGCTCAGAGTGCCAGGGTGTACCTCAGCCCAGAGCTGCTGTGAACGGCCCAGCTTCAGCTCCAGCAGCCGCTGTGGCCCTGAAGCTAGTGGTTTGTGACCTAGCACGGGTCCGCAGACCAGGGACTGGGAACCTCTGTTTTAAACTACCTTTAGCTGAAGAAGTGTTTTTCTGGAAAAGTTTGTCTCAATTCTGTTTTATTATTGAAGCAAAAGCCACACTGCTTGTTTTGCTGTTGGATTTGTACTGGAATGGAAGCTTTTCTGCCTCTTTTTTTTTTTTTTTTTTTTTTTTTTTTAAATCATAACTTTTTTATGTGTTACAGACACCAGAGTGGTTGGACAGTGACTCCTGTCAAAAATGTGACCAGCCTTTCTTTTGGAATTTTAAACAGATGTGGGACTGTAAGAAAATAGGCCTTAGACAGGTTTGTTCTGTTTTGTATTGATGGAGTAATTTAATGAGAACAGGATATCTGATAGTTCTATGAAATATTTTAACACTTTTCAAATGTATAAGAACTTGTTAAATCTTTCTGTTGCCTGTTAGGTGATTAAAGGCATTTGGCTACCCCTCATGCCAAGATGGGTGGGTATAGGCAGGCAAAGGCCCGAGGATGGGTAAATGTCTTGGCCCTCACAAACAGAAGCACTTTTTATAATCCATTTCTGTAGAAACTACACACTGTACATTGGCTTGCATAAATCTGGAGATGCATGTGGGCTTAGCCACATGAATCTCATTTAATTTCAGCAGAAGTACTCTGTACAAACCACAAATGTGGCCCGAAGCTCACTTCTGAAGATTCTAATGGAACCAGTAGTCTACGTTAAGTTATTGCTTTCCATGTCCATATTGTTATTCCAATTGCCCAGAGTTATTAGTAATACTGGCATACAGTTTGTGGTGTGATAAAATGGACAGGGTTAGGTAGCAATTGTCATAATAACAAAGGCCTGTTTTTAAGAATAAGGATTGTAAAAAGCTGAGGAGAATATGCCCACGTGACTGACTTTAGTTGGGTAATGTCAGGCACTCAGTTAACAATAAACTGTTATCTGGCCCTCCAGCAGTAACCAGTGCAGCTGAATTCCCGTATAGCTCTTTCCTGCTGGTTTTGTAAGTTGCTGTCTCATGTAATCCTAATACACCGTCCTAGAGCCCAGCTCATGGTGCGTGAGCCTACTGTGGTTTGCTTTGCTTGAAGTATTGCTGCTCCCATGGGCTATGTCTACCCTGCCGCTTTTTATTGGAAAAAGGTGTGCAAACTGCGTTCTGCAATTTGCATATCTTTTTCTGATAGTTTTGTCAGAAGAGGCTGTTCTGAAATTTGTCCTGTCTACACTGGGCCAAATTTTGGAAAAGCCTCCTCTTTTGGAAGAGCCCTTCTTCCTCATGGCACGAGGAAGACGGGGCTTCAGAAAAGAGTGCGTCTTCTGCAAAAATTGTCAGAAGAGCAGACGCGTTCCCTGGAGGTGTAGCCTAGACGTTGTCTTGATTAAGACTGAAAAAGTAGCAAAAGGGAACATGTTCAGTTGCCTGTCAGGGCAGGGCCGGATTAAGGGGGGGGGCTAGCCAGGCAGGTGCCCGGCGCGCCAACCTATGGGGGCTGCGTGGCGCCCCTTATTGCTGCCATCAGGTGCCGTGCACCCGGTTGTAGCTATAAGGTGCGCAGCGCGCCGTGCGCCTGGGGACGGAGCCACACATGCGTCACGCACCCGCTGCCCGGGTCGCAGGAATGGCTCAAGCCGGCCCTGCTTCAGGGATGTAGGTTTATATGTGTATTCGTATCAGAGATCATACTTGAGGAAGGAGAGGTATTGCCCCAGTGTCCTGAATGTAACGGCAGAATACTGATTAAAAAGAGAGCAGTTCTCCCACTGACACTGTAGGTGTTTCTTGTACCACGAATGTAGGTTGCATGAATTGATTTACCACATGCTAGTTAGAATCCTCAGTACACACATGCACAAAAGAGAATATCCAGTCAAATAGCATTTTTGCTTGATCAAAGCACCAGGCTGATAAAAAGTTTCCAAAGCTCTTTACTTTAGCTAGTTATAGACTGGTAATTGTTAAGCAAAATAGCTATGATCTAAATTCACCACATAATAATGCAACTAGCTCTTAGGTAGCTCTTCTCATCCGTGTCTCTCAAAGTGCTCTACAAAGGAGGTCAGAGTCTCTGTGCCTCGCTTCCCTTATCTGTGAAATGGGTATAGAGAACGTGATTTCACCTAGGTTACCCAAAAGCAGAGCCAGGAACAGAACCCAGCTCTCAAGTCCTAGTCCAGCGTTCTACCCACTAGGCTACATTGTCTCCATTTGGTCATTGGTGGCTGGCTTACTCCAGATGCTCAGCTAGATGGGGTTGTTAATGAAACGTAATGAAATGCAGAATTGAGACTAGGTCCCCCCCCCCCCCTTTATTCAGCTTTTTTTTTCCTTTTGCCCTGAATTGGGGGTTCAAAGAATTTGCTGTGTCCCAAGGTGAGTTCTGCTTAGGAGAATAGGTGACGATGAGAAGAAATCACCACTATTCTTTGTTTTTTCTATTCTGACCAATCCTTTTTGGCTTGCCTCTGTCAGCATCACTGCCGGAAGTGTGGAAAAGCAGTGTGTGGCAAATGCAGCTCTAAGCGCTCCTCCATACCACTGATGGGATTTGAGTTTGAAGTGAGAGTCTGCGATAGCTGTCATGAATCAATTACAGATGAGGAGTAAGTATAAATGACGAACCTTGTTACCTCAGATACAGAACTCTTCCAGTATTCTGAGGCACTCAGCTCTTGGCCAGCTGGATGGGAGTATCATAGAGCTATCTTAAAGTGCTTTCTCCATTAACAGGGCAGGCCATCAACCTCCATAGCTCTGTGTAGCGCAGGAAATTATTCTCCTCCTTTATAACTTTAGCATTCTTGTGCCTCTGTTCCTGTGTTCATTTCTGGGTTCCTCAATACTAGAAAGTTTGTAGGGAGCTTAGGAAAAAGCAACAGAATTGTTCTGGTGGCCAGAGGAATTCATTTAATTAACTAGGGTGGGTGTGTGGGAAGGGGGTGGAGTGGGAAGGTAATATGGGAATTTTTATGCAAAATAAAGGATTAATTTTACTTGAAGCTAAAACTGGTTTTTGCCAAGACTGTAGGACGTAGTTGGACATAATTAACAAAAACCGGAATATGAAGAAACCTTTTTAAAGAGGTGGTGCAAAGTAGAATTCTCCAGCCACGGATTTTAAAGAGCCGTTGTTTCTTCCTACATGTTTATTTCCTAATATGCTCTTGCTGAATATAAAAGAGAAGCGGTTTTTCATGTTTTGCCTTGCCACAAATCTCCCTGTGAAGAGTGAGTCTGAACTACTTCCCCCACCCTGTTTTCCCACGGACATACAAAGTTGGCCATCATGAATGGACTTCACTTCCCACCTTAACATGTCATTGCAAGGTTAACAGAGATGTCCATTACAGAATACTGGGCTGTCTCTTGTGAGATGATGGAGTTTCAGCCTGTCCTGCTTCAGCCTGGGGCCTTAGACCCAGGGACAGCAAGATGAACTTCTGTCATAGCACCATGCTGCTCCACCGAGGTCACTGGCTTTCTCTTCAACCAGTGCCAGTCCCATTTGCTTGAGTGACAGCTAAGTGGCTATGGGAAAAACAGCAGTCTATAAGTATACCAAAGGCAGAGGCTATTAGAGTTCTGGTTACTGTTTAAATATTTTTTACTTACTACATAACAGTTAGTTATGGGAAATTAATTTGTTGATAGTGATGTGGAGGTTTAACTGGTTAACCGCTGGGGGTTAGAGCAGCTTTCTGCCTGCCAGGATGGGGGGTGCTCCAGCCCTGTGGGGCCTGCTGCGGACAGTGGGGTGGGAGGTGGGGAGTGTCCCAGCCCAGTGGTGGGCAGGGGGCGGCTCTAGCCAGCCTGGAGTGCCCCTCACACTCACCCCCCCCTTTAATCGGTTAACTGGTTAGCCAATTCAATGAGATTTTATATCTCTGCTTAATGGTATTTGTTGCATTTAGTGTGGTAAAACAAGGCATAAGTAGGAGCAGTGGGATGGAATTAAAGTGAACATTTTTAGGCTAACTTAAAAGAAAAACTTCCTGTAAATAGAATCTATTGTGACTAGTCTGTGGAATAATCTCCTTAGGTAAGTGCCTTTGGGGGCCATTTTGCCTGGACATGGAGATGAGCTAGATTATTTCATAAGGTTTTTTTCCAGATTTATTGACTGTGGTTTACTGAAGCTCAGATAGCCCTGAGGAAGTGCACAGTGATATGCAATATTGATCACAGAAGTATCACGGTATCTCTGTTGTCCACACGAGAGCAGGTACACTCAGGCTTTCAGTATTGCATCTGAAAGTTTCCTGCACGGTAACTCCCTGGGAAATAGAAAAGTCAATCTCTGAAGGAAAACCTGTGGTTCCAAGGAGCTACAGGTCATCCTTCAGAGGGTGTGTCTATATGGCACAGTCTTTACAGCGCCCCTTATAGTACATACGCCGCACAGGTATAAATAGCAGTATAGATGGGGAGGCCCTGCTTTGATGAGTAGGACTCCTGAACCCTATGGATATGTACCCAGCACAGTTCTCTATATGGCTACGCAGTGTCTGCCCACTCTACACCGCTAAAAATAGCAGTATAGTGTCCTGCTGCTAGAGCCTTTCCTTAGCGCTAGGGGAAACTCACAGCAAGAAAATGATCTGGCTGAGGAGAGGCAGCTGAGAGAGACTCCAGTTGCAGGGAGCTTCTAGAGCCTTTTTCCCCCTGCCTCTCCTCGGCAAGAGCCTTTCACTGTAGCATGTGGCATCACACTGCATGAGAGCAGCCTACTTTTCACTGCAGCATGTGTGCCATGTAGACATAGCCACAGAGAGATGACAGAGCCTTCTCTTGCTCAGTAATTAAGTTGAATCACTGACCGAAATCACTTACTTAGCCCAGATCTACAGTAAAAGGGAACATTAAATCAAGATACATAACTCCAGCTATGTTAATTACATAGCTGGAGTTGCTCCACCTTGTTTTGAGTTTTCTCACTGTCCCCACAATGGGAGACTACCGGCCACTGCAGGGATTCCCTTTGAGTTCTACTTAGTGAGTCTTAACTAGACCTGCTAAATCAAACTCTGGAAGATCAATCGTGGCAGCATTGCTCTTCCATTTAGTGAAGACATAGCCTTACATTAGTGATCAAATTGTCATTTCCTCCTTTTGTGACTAGATCAGGGCAACACCAAAGTTGCTGTCTCCTTGATTCTTGATATTTGATCTTTCCTTAGACGTGCTCCCACAGCCACTTTCCATGACAGTAAGCACAACATTGTTCATGTACACTTTGATGCAACCAGGGGATGGTTATTGACTTCTGGGACAGACAAAGTTATTAAGGTAAGAGAAAGGTGACTGCTTTAGTTCATTTTCAGTCCTTGTCTATGTCCCTTCCTCCTGCCACATCTTTTCAGGTCTGAATCTCCCTTTCCGCTCCCATGGTCTGGGAAATCTCTGTGCTTTCATCATGCATTGCTGTTTCTCACTGGGTATTTTTCACAGCCATTCAGAGATTTTTTTTTTTTTTATAACCCAGTGGTGATCATCAGTGTAATTCCATTAGGAGCTGCTCTATCCTTTGGTAAGCAGGTATGCTCTACAGTGGAATTGTTCATTTAGGGAGTTGGTACAAAAATGCCCTTGAAAGTCGCCCTGTCAATCAGAAAGTTGTTTTGGTGCAACATGTTGTCTTTCATAAGCGTCTGGCTTTGTCTTGCTGCCAGCATGGCAGGAAATGAGAAGACTAATTCAAATTAAATTGGTCATTCTGTGTGTGGTATCCAAGGCTGGCTGGGACACTGTTTTTCACTGACTAATTCTATACCTGAGTCAGTCAGCTCCTTTGCACCTTTGCATATGAACAAGGACACTATTACTCAAACGTGCTAGCTATTGTAGTATTAGTATCAACAAGGGAATTGGTAAGAGAGAAGTCTGCAAAACTAATCTGAAATGCTAGTTTATTCTGACAAATCCTGATTCAGGACAGGAGCCATCTATGAGCAAGAAGTTAATAAAATGCAGTCACTTCACTGAGCTTCAGACATGGAGCTCTGATGTGGCAGGAATGGAAGAAATAAAACAGTAATTTCTTAAATAAAATAATCAAAACAGCTAAAGAATTGAAGACATTTTCTATATGCATGTGACTGAAAAACTAAAAATATATTAAGTGATATGTAATCTCTGTAGATTACAAGTGGCATTTTTTTCTTAAGCAGATATCTCAAATCTCATTTAAAAATCCACTTTAAAGTTCTCATAGCACACACACACACACAAACATGGTACAAATTCAGTTTTCCCCCCCTACGCTGTCTTACAGATTAAAACCACTTTATATTTAACACCATTATAAATGCTCGAGGTGAAGTGGGTTTGGGTTGGAAACTAAGAAACTTGTGACAGCCCCCTCCCCTTCATGATAATCTTGCCAACCTCCTGCGGGATTATGACTCTGTTTTGAGAACCTCTGCTTTATCAGAATATCACAATACTTTCCCCTATGTTATTACATTCATTCTTATTATTGTTAACAGTTGTGGGATATGACACCTGTAGTGTCTTGATACATCAGTGGAACTTAAAAGGCGTTATCTGCTGAGGAAATGGATTGCCTACACCTAAGCATATTGCAAAGATAAAACGCTGTGTGTATATGGCAGATAAGGAAGGAGCTAATGCATCTGTGATGATTTTTCAAGACATCGTCTAGATCATGGTTGAACATTTGCACGAAGACTCTATTTCAACTTGTTCTCAAAATATCAGAAAAGGTATTTTTTTAACTAACAGTTTGTACGATCTGGCTATGTTCAGTTATTGTGAGTGTATCTGGAAAAATCTGTGTGTGCAATTGAGTTTTTATACTTCATTATGTTGCTATATTTGTTGCTTTGTGTGGAAGGGTTCTTTATTTTGAATCTGGACTTGTAAGAAAGTGTCCAATCTCAATGTACTGTACAAAGGAATCAGAGTTCCCCAGAGAGAGTACCTATTTATTTGTGATGTTTCTGCTGCTGATGGCCTCTTCAGTGGAGACATTTTGAGCAAGACCTTGCATCTTTGCTTACTACACCATAAAAGATCTCTGGACCCTATTGCATGCTTCCAAAAAAAAGGGGGGGGCTCTTCCATTTACTTTTTCTAACAAATATCACCTTGAGATAGTATTTTATTGTTGCATAATATGAAATTCAGTTCCTTATGCCCTCTCCTATGTCACACAGGTTTCAAAATCAAGGGGCTGGGTTGCTTAGCAACTAATCTTACAGTAGCTGACACAATTTTCCAGCCGAGAGCATTTTCAAGAAGTGTCCAAACCAGTTTATTTTCTGAGGCTGCGCAGGCTTGTTCAAATTAAAGTAGCAGCAGCTTCTAGAACTGTGGAATTTTATAAAAAGGAGTCTAAACAGGCTTCGTTGGGCCCAGACAAGCCTGTTTCTTCCTCATGAAGCATCATGTCAGTGTTTACATCTGTCTCTCTTGCTGGAGAGAATTTTAACTTTCCCATTGCTGTTCCCCCACCCAGTTACTCATATTTATTTTAAAATTGCTGATGGTTTTTATTAATTGTGTATGTCATCCTGAAACAAACATTGCTGACTCACACCCATTGTCCTATTCGGTAGTTTCTTTTTAATAATAAAAAGTCATTTTAAAAAAATCACACTGGCACAAATGACCTTTATAAAGGGATATTGTCGAGGTTAATAGGCAGGAAAATTGCCCTCTTTTCACGGGCGTTCTATCAGGAAGGCCCATGCTTTCTGGATTATTTGACCGTTTCATTTATAAATTATTGTGGCTGCACTTGCAAGGAACTAAGTGGAAAGACTGTAGCAGGTACTGCAAGACCTTTCATATGGAGTTATTGTTGAGTTAGGCACTGTGACTTGGGGACTTGGATACACAACTAATAATCAGCAAGTCAGTGGCACAAGCAAAATCTTTTTGGTCATGATGAAGTGACTTGCCCCTGTCTGTGCCTCATGGAGCATAATGATACATACCCACCTTTGTAAAGCAGATTGTAGTCTGCAGCTGTCAAGTACTGTATAGTGCTAAGTGTGCTGTTAGAGCCCTGGAAACACCTACTCTTGCCCCTTGCCTGCAAAAATTAAAAAAAAAGGGGGGGGGGAGAATTAATTATATTTTATCATCAGTTGTCATTATAAAGGGTAAGTGAGTAGGTGTGTGCACATGCCAGGGCTGGTAAATCTTCCTGACAGTTCTCTGTTTTGCAGTATTTATGTACATTTATAGGTTACCAGTCCTCATTCTCCTGTTTAAAATAACCCACTCTTGGTTTATTGGGCATGCAGCTCATAATCTGCTTTTCCTCTAAGCAGCCCTCATGTATATTTTCAAACATGATGATAAGCTTAGCTAAAAAAATAGTTTCCAGTGTAAATGTTAGTTCTTTTGCAAGCTAACCTGCATTCTCTTATGGTAGCTGGCTGCTGTTTTTATCCTCCCACTGTAAAACCTTTCAAAGGTGGGTCATTATACCTGTTCCATATTTTAGGATTACTGAAATTTCTTCTGCTGTAAAAGCTGGGCAAGATAATTTTGTTTTTTGCCAATATCCAAACGCTTGTTGCTGCTAGATTATGCTAGTCCACAATACCTTGGAAGGACTGGACTACTTTTCTAAAAAAAGATCCACTTTGCTGCTGTTCTGACCAAGTACATAGTAATATGGGTGAAATATTAGGCTAAACAATTTGTACTCTGCAGAGTTATGTCGACGTAAAACAGCGTATGTTAACCTAACTTTGTAAACCGCTACACTGAAATATAGCTCCCGCCTATGTAACTTGCCTACTACACTGACTTAAGTCTACTGCCACAGGAGATGTAGTACATCAGTCAACATAATTAGTTAGATTGATGCGGTGTCAGTGTAGATATTGAATTGCTTACATTGACTGTTGCTGCCTTATCAGAAGCCATCCCACAATGCCCCACATTGACAGTTTAATTGGTACAAACTCTCATGGAGAGGACTTGCACTGCTGACACAAGGAGCGTAGCATGGGCTTGCAAGAGTGATTTAATTTTTGTGGTGATGGTTTTGTTGACATTGCTTAGAGCGTCTTTGGACATATCTAAGCTTCACAGCTAAGATAAATGCTAAGAGGGTAGCCCAACATTTGGGGTAAATTATCGAACTTCCACTGAAGTCAAAGAAGCTAACAATTTGTATCATCTGAGGATTAGCCTTTCCTCATAAGCTGTGTAAGTACAAATCCATTAGCAAGCAAAAAATAACTCAGAGTTTTGACCCCTAAAATGGAGAACCAGACTCCAACATCCCACACACCCAGTTGCCTGAAAAAGGGTTTGACTGTACTTACTTCATTACACTTTGCATAGGCGTCATCGTCTTAATCATTACAATTTAAATGCTGTGGCTGGAAGCCTGAGAGAACCATTCCACAGGTTGGTTTAGATTTTTGCTTCTACTTGTGCCTAGAAAAATGTTTGATGTATTGGGCAATTCAGAGTTCAGTCTTGTAACAAAGATTTGTCTTGACTGGAGGACACGTGAGCTAAAGGGGATCTGTTCTCCACTTGATGTAATCTTATAGCTTTCATTGGAGCTACGACTTGTGTACATGAAAAGAAAATAGACCTGTCTTGTTCGAACTGCAGCTCCTTTATCTCCCACATAAAAGTACAAGGATTCGACACTGGGAGAGTTAAGCAGAATGTCCAATCTCTGTGATGAGTATCCGTTTCTTTCAGTCCTTTGATCAGCATGGATCCCAGAATTCTTGTTCTCTGATCCATTCTCACTGACCCTCAAGGCAATTAATAAATTTAACCTTTTTCCTTATACCTGAAGGTAATGAAAGGGCATATTTCAACAAGGATGTTAAATTACACCATAAGAAGTACAAGTGAGAATCCTCCACTTTCTTGGGGTAGTTGATTACAGTGGCATTTTATTTCATTTGTGATTTTTTTTTCTACTGCATTGAAAGACTATAGAAAACACTTGCCTTCATCCACTCTTGATTTAAAATGTAACAGATTTTCATCTATCCCCCTTTTAGGAAGTCTATGCAGTCTGTGTGGTTTAAAAAACAATTATTACTGCAATGCTTACAGAAAATAAGTCCCACCATTATAGTACCCTGCACTGACAGTAAATGAGTGTGTTGGCAATTGATCTTAGGCAAGATATTACTATAACTGCATATGTTCATGCTGGGTAATTGATGACTAAAGGAAGATGTTACTCAGGATTGGGGTTGCAAGAGAAGAGGGTATTTTTTTAAGGTAGGAACTAAAAATGAGAGAAAATTAGGGAAAGGAAAAATGTATGCTGACTACTAGCAGCAGTTTTTTTAGATAACAGCAATAGTCTCCTGAGGATAGAATAAACAAACTCGTTGCATGGGCCATCTCATACTGGACTGACAGAGGGGCTAACAAACTGTATTGCAGTGCCAACAAGAGACTAGAAGATCCATTAAGGGTGTGTCTCTTTTCTGTGACCTGATAGTGTTCCTGTGGCTTGGTGATCCTGTGGCTTTCACAGCAAGAAAGAAGAGTAGACCTGAATACCAGATGGTGTGATACTTAAAGTGGTGTCCAAGGGATAACTGTTGAAGTTTAGCCCTGCCAGGGTTGCTTAAATATATACAGTATTAGGCCAGGGAGTGGGGACATATTTCCTCAGTATTGGGTCGGTTGCTGCTGAGAAGATAAAATGTCAGACATTGGAAAAGGACAACAAATGGTCTGGTAGCACTTTAAAGACTAACAAAACATGTAGATGGGATCATGAGCTTTTGTGGGCACAGCCCACTTCTTCAGATGATGGGAGTGTTAGAAGTACTTCTAACACTCCGGTCATCTGAAGATATGGGCTGTGCCCACAAAAGCTCATGATCCCATCTACATGTTTTGTTAGTCTTTAAAGTGCTACCAGACTATTTGTTTTGTTTTAAGTTTTTCCTGTTACTGACTAACTTGGCTACCCCTCTGAAACTATTGGAAAAGGACTCCATGTAGCTCAGTTTAGTGGCAGAAAGAAAGCGCTAGGTTAAGCAAATTAAAGGAAATTGTTGTATGGTTTCATAAACAGATTACTTCATTTCATCAGACTTGGGTGTAAGTAAAAATACTGAGATTATCAATCCTAAACATTAGGGCTGCTGTTAGTTGAGAATGATGTGCATGAATGTCCTTACTGTTTACAACAAGAGCTTGGGAAAAGGGACCAGATTAATTAATATTTAAATGTATTTTGTAGTATGTAAGAATTAACTCAGCAATGAATGTGTACTTATTTATTCCATGTGAGTATCTTGATCCTTTAACCAGCATCAGCAAATGATGGGGTTTTTTTTCCAATTAAGCCTTCCTCATCTTTTCAATATATGCTGTGCATACACATTTCAGTGTGTTTTTAAAAACAAACAAACCTTAACTACAGTTCTAGGAAGACTGAGTTGCTGACTGCTCTGAACTTGAAGAGATTTGGGCATGAGAGACAAGTATTACTTTATTATGTGTGAGTTTGTTGGTTTGGGGTAAGCCAGAAGTCTGGCAAAATACTGTGAGAACAGGTATATTACAGAATCACTTACATGTAGTATTAATGGAAAAAATGGGGCTAGATTTTTTCCACATGATCTTACATATGAATAGCAGTGGGAATTCTGCATACATCTGAGGGAAACACTTTGCCTCCAGCTTTGGACCAATAAAGACCCACAATTCTAAATTTCCAGATTCAGTGGCTCTCCCTTTAATTCTGCGTGGCCACTTCAGTGTCTTTTGCAGTTCTTTGTTTGTTGCATTGTTACACTTTTTCTTAAATTAAATTCGTGTTCAGTGAGACTGAAATCTTTTCCTGTTGGGGACAGAGCACAGAGAATTAGTGGCAAAATAATTCAAAAGAAAACAGTGCTGAAAGTATTCCTTCAACATCAGAAGAGGGTACTAAGAACACAGGGTGGCCATTCAAAGATCTGGGATGGGCAAGATTGGTGTGCTTTCACAGACAAAACTGACTTTTTTCTTCCTACTCAATTTTATCACACCATTTGCTGAAGCTCACAATTTTCGTGTTCTTTCAGTTTGTGCAGTAAAGGTCAACAATTTGAGAATGAAATACTCTTTATTCCCATCATGGAAGTTTGTGGGAAGGGGAAGATACAGGAAACTGCTGCAGTGGGGAGAAAATGGGATGTGAAGGCACAGTGCAGAAAAATGATGCTCAATATTGTGATTGAAATGGGTTTTCAAAGCCTCACAGACACACTGAACTCCTTGCTGGGCTCTTCTTACTTTGAGCAGTCACATACCAGGACAATTAGCTGCCAACCTATCCACCTTCATGCCCTATCCCTTTGCCTCACAAATATTATGGAAACCACCGCATGCAGCAATAATCATGGAGATTTTGCTTTCATTGATGTCTAACCTAGTAAGCATAGAATCATAGAATATCATAGAACCATAGAACTGGAAGAGACCTCAGAAGGCATCAAGTCCAGCCCCCTGCTCTAGGCAGGACCAATTCCAGCTAAATCAACCCAGCCAGGGCTTTGTCAAGCCAAGACTTAAACACCTCTAGGGATGGAGACTCCACTACTTCCCTAGGTAACCCATTCCAGTGCTTCACCACCTTCCTAGTGAAGTAGTCTTTCCTAATATCCAACCTGGACCTCTCCCACCACAACTTGAGACCATTGCTCCTTGTTCTGCCATCTGTCACTACTGAGAACAGCCTCTCTCCATCCTCTTGGGAACCTCCCTTCAGGAATAAAGCAGACTTCACCAGTAACACTTGAAATGTCCAAAGGCACGTTCTAACATCATTCTGCACTTGTTCAGCCTATTATTGAACTGCTCCTTACTGTTGTCCAGGTGGCTGTGGAATAAAGGGTTTGGCTGGGTCTCCTAGGATCGCTCTTGGCATTTCAGCATTGGCAGTGGTTATTGTGTTATCTGAAAGAGAATCGCTGATTGCATCTTCCTGATCAGAGCTGTGTTCCTAAAGATGCGTATGTCCATGCACCTTTCTTGGCCATCCCACATTGGTAGAGGTGAACTGCCTCTTGTGATCCACCAGTGCTTGCAACACCATGGAAAATTATCCCTTCTGGTTTGTGTACTCTCTGGCAAAACAGTCTGCTGCCAAGGTATGTGTTCTATTGCTACAGCTAGGAACCCCCCACTGCGGCAAAGCTATCCACTATGCCAGGCTTATTACCCTTCTTAACAGAAGTCAGTTAATGGCCCTGCACATTTTGATCACAGCCGCTCCCACGGTGGATTTACCAAATCCGGGTGGATTCCCCCTGACCATTAGCAGTCTGACATTGCAAGCTTTCAAAGAGACATTGCCACTTGCTTCTCCACTGTCAGAGCAGGTCTCCTTTTAGTTTTGCTGCTCTTCAAAGCTGGGGAATGCTGCACAAAGTTCCTGAACTGTGGTCTTCCGCATTCAAAAGGTCTGCAGCCACTGCTAGTAATCCCATAGCTGCATAGCAATGTGATCCCACCAGTTCAGCTGCTGTGCGACCGCCAAGAGCAACTGGGAATTGTGCTGTGGCTTGCAGCAGGGCTGCTTGAATAACATTAATGTGGCAGATCATGGCTTGGGTCTGGAAATACTTCAGAGTAAGGTGTGAGGTGATTGTAATGCTCAACAAGAGTGCACAGCTGAGTAGGGTCCATGGTTCTTGGGCTGTGGTAGATGCACAGCTCAATCAGGCTTTTGAAAAAGATGCAAGAGAGCATGGGTGATTTACTGTTAATACCGGGAGGGAGGAAGGAAACCGCATCATGGGAGACCGAATCCATGTTCCCATTCCCCCTGCAATGTTTTGGTCCCAGGCGGCATTGCTGCAAGTCGACCTCCCGGCTGACCCGCAATTAGTTGTTCTGCAGAATAGCTACCCCCTGTTGCTCTGTTCTCAGCATCAATGCATTCCACCGGCACAATGTGCAGTGTGGACATGCACAACTGACCGAATTACGGGTGTGGCTGGATGTCAACTTTGTAGTGTAGACATGTTCTAGGATTCCTTTGAGACTCTTTCCTTTGGAGAGAATTTTTGATAATCCTTAAAATCCAACAATAGTTACAGGCATGTGGGGGCTGATGAAGGTTTAATTTTTCCAAACTTCACTACCCTCAGCCCAGAAGAAGAACTCTGCAGAACCTAAAGTGTTCAGCATTCCCTTTTTCACTAAGCTCTGCAAAAACATAACTAGTCTGGTTGGGACTCATCCTATTAGGAAAAAGTGCCACCTTCTGGACTGACCTATAATGTCTCCTGATCAGCTGCTGCTTGTTTTCCAATTTCTTGGGATGCTATAGAACTATAGTCCGAATACTTGGCTTTCTACTACTGCAACCTTTGGCGGGTATATCCTCACATCTTTTCTAAAGCCTAATATATGTATGTGTCTGTGAATGGCACGTTCTTTCTCTGAACAAGGGTATCCCACTTGGATAGACAACAGAGACTGGTTAGGGGAAAGGATTTTGGGATGTGAATAAAAGTGTCTCTAAAAACATTGTATGCATTGCAAAATTCTTTTCCCTAGTCAATCTCAGATGTCCATCCAAGTCAGATATTTGAAAATCCATCAAAATAAACCTCACCTGCCAAAAGTGGAATTATAAAGTAGTGTTAGAGCAAGGTGGTTGAAAAACGGGAAATACTCTCAGGTTTAGAAGCCTCTCCAATTTTCATCTAAATTTTAGAATCTTGTGAAATAGTATAGAAAACTGGTATTTCAGAAGCAGGCACATAACTATAGATGGTACTTTGTTTCCTTCAGGTAATTATAATGAAATTTAGCTGCACTGTAAAATGTTTTCCAGTTCAATGGTACATTCTACAAAAATGTGTGGTGCACACAGACTTGCTGGCTGCGCTTTGCACCTGCTTTTGAGAATAAGAGCACCAAATGTGATAGTGCTCTACAGTTACTAGCAGAGCTCTGGCGCTAGAAGGCAGACTTTGTTTACAATTGTTGCTTACAGGTATTTGTATTTAGCCATATTCTTATGGAACA